TTAGATACAAGAAACAGAACCAATGACTTTTGATGATTTTTCAGCATTTGGTGTAATTAGGATTAAATGGAGAAGAGATAAGAGGAAGTGGACGAATGAGGCACGCTTCTTAATGAAGTCTGGGAAAGACCACAGGTGAGTTCCAGTCTCCTCCAGTTAAAGATAATGCAGATGTGAAATTCTTGTCCCAATGGAAAGCTGGACTCACTATCTAATAGGAGAAGGATGAGCATCACATGGGGATGAGGAGACTCTTCTATTGTTGCCACTGAACAAGATAAATTCCTCGGTCCAGACAGAGTGCAAGACGATGGGACGGTTGGGACATAGGAAGTGATGAGAATAGTCCACTCAAGAAGAAAGTTTCCAACCACGACACCACTGGTTCATTTATTTAAAAAAAGTTTGACAATTTTGTGAAGCTGAAGTTTCATTTTAATGTATTAAAGTCTCTGAGGGCGAGAGCTGTACTTCATATTTTAGATGATGAAATACATTCAAATATTTCAAAACAGATGAAGTATCAGATCGATGATCTCATCAAACCTACGCTCAACCATCAGGGGCTGTTGGACAATAAATGTGTCCACAGTGAGTCTATGTACACATTCGGCCAACTGAGTGCGTTGAATCAGTGGCAGATGGCGAGAGATGGTCGATGCTGTCCCGCCTAATAAATCAGAGATGAATCAAAATAGTGTAATTTCTCCCAAATTCTACTTGGCTTCTTTTTTTCCACCCACCTTGCTGATTCGTAGAAGGAGGAGCCCCGGCGGCAAAGTCTCCTCAAATTCCAAGGGAACAGAAGATAAGAGAAAGCATGTGGTGGCACAAAGCGATTCGAGAATAGGAGATGTCTCTATACTCAAGAATCCTCAAAGGGAGTCAACGAGCTGAAGCGTGAGCAGAAGAATTCAAGTGATGAAATATCTGTGATAACAAGGAGTGAAATATTACTCACATAAAGTTTGTATCATTAAATTGAATAATGCCAATCCAGTCTGTGTGCAGCAATATAGATAGCAATACCACTGTTTTATTTGGTTACCTAGGTTACATAGGTTATAGGATTTAAATTTGAAAACATGACTGATTATGTTGACTCTAGAGCTTCATTAAAGTATTTTCTTTTACATTTGATAGGTGTAACTATAAATGGGAATTTATCTTCTGAAATACTGAAAAAAGATTGTATTTGTTTGTCTGTGACTGAGCCACAGTGTAAGCCAGAATGCTTTTTGGCTGGCGTTCAGCAACTTTAGAAGCAGAGATAAAGAATTTTCCAAAAGGAGACTTAGCTCTTTTATAGCTTTTAGAAATTATCATTACAGGCTCCACCAAAGATTGTTCGTCGTTTTTATGTCATTGTTTTTTTGTTGCGGCAGAGACAAAGATCTTAAGAAGAAAAAGGAGCGCATGTAAGTGTCCAGTAAAATGTTCATGTCAAGTGATCCAGGTTCTACTGACTGTAACTGACCAGGAAAAATATATACATGCAAAATATTAATGAAGCTCATCTAAACTGTAGATCATTATGTTTATTGTTTCTCTGCTGAAATGTTACGGCAATTAAAACTGGGTTGTAACAGCTGGAAAAGTAAACTACAACTCATTTTCAATTGTATAAATGTGTTAACGCAACTTTAATAGGGCAGTAATGGTCTTGTATTTAGGATTATGACTTATGTGAAAATATTGATGCATC